AGAAGGGGTTTATATGTGGAACATGGCTCTGTCCTTTGGCCCCTCTATCTCAAAGTCGTCCTGTGCCCTCAACAGAAAAACACCCCCAAAGCATAATGTCTCCACCTCTGTGCTTGACTGTGGGGATGGTGTTCTTCAGGTCATATGCAGCATTTCTGTTCCTCCAAACACAAAGAGCTCGACTTTGGTTTAATCTGACCACAGGTTAGATGTTCAGTGGTAAACTTAAGACAGGCCTGTACATGTGTACATGCTGGTCCATACCCTCCTCAGGATAATCCTCATCCAATGATGCAAGATCTTACATGCAGCTCCAGACCCAGGGTGAACAGCTGTCACCTCCTCACCAAACTTCTTGCTGTTGGTCTTGGGCAGGTCTACAAACTTGTCATCGATGTCCTTTGACAGGACAGCTCTGGTCTTGCCAATGGTGGCGGAGAGGTTAGAATGGAGGACACTGATTTTGTGTGCTTTATACACTGAAATAGCTGAGACCAGGAGTATCTGTAACTGACTGACTGAGGTGTGCACCACATTTATAACCACTCATTTTTTCGTGAGTGAGCAAACTTACAAAGGATCAAATAATGATTTCTCCAACCACATATCAAAATCACCCCTCGTCACTGACACATTTTCTAGTAGACAAAGCTTAATTTCTGAGTATATTCCCATCTTTTAACACACATTTCACTGTTGACTCTTTTACAGGAAGAAATCTCATTATTTGGGTGCCAATGTGCCTTAAATAGATAATTATTATTTAAACATATACAGTAGCAGAAGTCACAGGCAGAATGTCACATTTGACAGAGGTTTGTCTCATTTGATTTTCTTCATACTGCACTTTTAAGTGATTGTTGTATGAAAACCAAAAACGACGTGATTTTTAAAGAAGACTTATTTTACCTTCAGTAGCAGTGGCGCTAAACTTGTACAACAGTTGAACAGTTCAAGAGTCTCGGTAGCGGTCGGTCGCCCTCTAGTGGCCACGTGTTCATTGACAGGAGTCAAAGTGAAAGTCTCATTAGTGAGCTCATTGCTCTCAGGTGTGTCTTAGCAAGCAGAACTTTGAGCTGACTGACTGCGTGGATAAAACGCGCCTGAAATGGAAGAAAACACGGCTGGAAAAAAGGATATGTTTGGACTCCAGCTGTTCAGAGATGCTCTGGAATCTTTGCTCAAGTCGCTGCATGGTTGCCTCCATCTAAACGGACGAGAGAAGGAAACTCGTTCTTACACAGATGTTTGCCTGCCCGGGTTGTGCTTTTTACAGGACACGTAGGTCACATGAAACAAACTCACCGCCTCGGTCATGTCTTCAGCTGCTTTGCACTCTGTTTTAGACATGGTGTCTCCAGACACACACACACAACCCGCTCAGCTGCACTCAAACAACACACACACGCCTGCCTGGGACTGTTTTGCCGCACCGGCCTGTGACACCCAGGTTAAAAAATCCCAAATGAGTTTCCTTTCTGTGACGCTGGCGGTGACTCCCTTAACTTTGCGGTATGCCGAGTTGACACAAACTTCCGCTTGTGGCGCTCGTCCCTTCAAAATAAAAGCGTCGCAGGGGATCAACCTTCAAGTCACCACATTTTTTTTCAGCTACAGACAATTTTATTTCAATATGATTTTTTTTTCTAGAAGATTTTTTATTTTTTAAATTTGGCACAAGGGTGAATAGCTATGGCCTAAATGTACACGGTATATGTAAGTTGCATAATTGGCTCATAATTGCAAGGTTTGACTCTTAAATCTTTGTGCCAATCTGTGATATTACCAAGGTGTAAATGCCAACAGCTTTGACATGAGGGTAGGATCATTTAGTCTTTTTGATTTGGATATAATTCACTCATCAGTGTTAACTGGTGACCATTCTGGATAAAATAGACATAGAATAGGAACACGTCTAACACCAGAGATTTCTAAGAATGGGTGGATTCATCCTTAAAGTTGTCCAGAAGAGCCAGCGTGGGTTTAAGACGACTGAAAGATTAAGAGGGGCGAGAGGTTGAGGTTGTTTCTCTCTGTTAGCCCTGAGACAGGCTGGTGATCTGCCCACGGTGTACCCTACCTCTCACACCCTATCTCACCCTAAGCCAGCTGGGATATACCCAACCCAACCCTGAATTTAATAAGTGGGAAAAATGGATAGATTGGAATTTATGCTAATAAAGTCCACTTAATTTAATTGTTAATAATGAGGCAGATCGCATTCAGGGGGGCAATATTGATACAATGACCATGAAGACAAACTGTGAGTTTGAATTTAAGCAGCAAATCTGTAAAAGTAAAACTCTTCACACAAGTAAACAGATTAGAAAACACACCACGCCACACGTGTGAGCTAGAAACTCTGTTGAATTCAGTCTTGTGCTGTGGCAGGATGTCTACAGTATAAATGTCCACAAGGCATTCCATCCAGGTAAAGGCGCAAAGCAAAAAAACAAAAAACGAAAACCCACTTTTTTTCCCCAATTTCCGCCTTTTATTTTGAAGGCGAATATTGTTACATTTCCGTTGTTGTAACAGCTGCCTTTCTCATCCTTAACTGTGACAGTGGCGGAGATTTGTATGCGCGCAGCACATGGGACAAACATTTTTTTAACTCTTTGTAAACTGGTTTATCCTGGCAGTCAGGTCGCTGTGGGTTTTGTTGCTGCGCCCCCAGAACGAGGCTTTGGTTTTTATGTAATACATTATCCTGCTCACTGTGAGAGATGAGAGAAAACAGCTGTCTGCCATGAGGGTTACATAACTTTCATTAAGCCTTTATAAATCTTTCTTTATTTCGGGCAGTGTCTCTTTCACTCCTGCTGAATATAATACATTTATACTGTATAACATCATTACAAAGGCTTGTTAAAATGGACTGCAGTGATTAAGGGATGGACTGTACAAAGGAAGAAGTCAGCTAACATAAACCAGGTTACATGAAATATTGAAGAAGATGTTGCTCTACAGTCAGTGCAGAAAACAGGCAGAACCAGATGTGTCACTTTGTTTTAGGCCTCTTCAGTTGCAATTGACTAAAATATTCATTGTCTGCAGCAGGGCCGGATTAACCTGCTTAGTGTTCTCGGGGCAAAGACTGTGGGTGGGGGGCTGTAGTTGTAGCTGTATGATGCACACTGAGAACTGCGTTAGAGATTTGTGAAAGCGAAAATGTTTCTTACTGCTGTTAGCAAGTGATAGAAATAATTAAAACTGTCCACTGCAGCTTGTGTCTGTGAAGCTCATTGAGCATCTTTGTTCTTTGTTCTGCTCCCCTTTTCTTTCATCTCTTTCCCCTAGTTCACCCCCTAAAAAGCTGAGGCAGACTGCCCAGCGCTGACCCTGGATCTCTTCTGAATGTGAATGTGTTAGTGCTTTGTAACGTTAATGATAACGTAATGTTATCATTTGTGCCCCCTGCGTACCAAACACCCAGGCAGTAGGAGAGCACGCAGTGCACCGAGGAGCGATAGAAGGCCAACAGCAGCTTCTGGTACAGGTTATTCTTCCTTTGCCCAGGTGAGATCGCCAGAGATGTAGGTGCCCAGAAACCTGAAGATAGAGACAGAATAAACACACTCACCATTTATAATGAGAGTGGAGAGAACCTGTCTGTGCCTCCTGAAGTTCACAATAAGTTCTGTTGCTTTAAAGATGCTTAGTTTCAGGTTGTTTTCTGAGCACCAGTGAGAAATATCTCTACCTCTACACTGTCTCATCTCCATCAGAGATTGATCAGAGATCCGTCTGACTGACCGAGGCTGGTTTTTGAGGAGGTCTTTGATCCAGGAGCAAGTAGCAGGGGGTTCTGAAGGTGGTCTAGTTTGGTAGTAAGGATGTATGGTATTATGGTGTTGAACGCTGAGCTGTAATCCACGTAAAGCATCCTCACGTAGCTCTACCCATTCTCCAGATTTCCCGCTGCTCTGTGAAGGGTGATGGTGATGGCATCCTCCATGGACCGATTTGCTCTGTAAGCAAACTTGTGGGGGTCAAGAGAGGGAGGTAGGTAGTCTTTGATGTGCTGAGACACTTCATGACTACAGACGTGAGAGGTATAGGTCTGTGGTCATTGAGGCTTTCTATTCCAGTCTTTTTGGGGATGGGAATGATGGTGGAGGCCTTCAGACAAGTGGGGACAGTGGCATGAGTCAGGGAGAGGCTGAGCAGGCTGGTGAGGATTCCTGGCAGTTGGTCTGCACAGAGTTTGACCACTGGCTCTCAGTCTCCTCCTGACCTCATGTTCCTCATGTTGCACCTCAATCAGATGTTTTTGGTAGCCATCAAAAAGTTTCTGGCATAATTCTGTCGTGTTCGTGGCAGAATAGACTGAAACTGGTTGGTTTTCCTGGTGCTAACCAGTTTTTTTATGAGCAGTCCAGGTTGAAGTGAGGGCCTAAATTTTTTAATCCTCAATTTCAGAGGCTTATGTAACCTGAGGTCATCAAACCAAAACCTTTTAGTGGTCCCCCACACTCGTTTTAAAACCCGAGGGGACCGATCTTTGCAAGCTGTTGCACCCAGACTCTGGAATGCACTTCCCCTATTTCTACAGGGTTTGGACTCAGTGGAGACCTTCAAAAAGCAGCTAAAGACATTTTTATTTCAAAAAGCTTTTAATTAGACCAGGGTATTTATGATGTATTTTATAACTGTATTATGTTTTTACCTTGTAAAGCACTTTGTGACATATGTCTGTGAAAGGTGCTATATAAATAAACTTTACTTACTTACTTACTTTTGAAGCTTATTTCTACGTAGCTACAGAGTCAGAGCCCAAAATTACCATAACATTCACGTTCTGCCAAACAGCTGACACAAACTATATGTTAAAATTTTTTCTTTTATTTATTTATTTATTTTCTTTTTTTTATTCTTTCTATTATTTTTTTTTAGCTAACCTGCTAGATAGCTAGCCACATACAGTTTGCCTGTGTGTGAACTCTCTTGATCAAGTTGGATAATCTTTGATTGAGCGCGTGACGTGAGACGTTCCAGGAAGTGTTGGGAAACATTACAGACGGGCAGGACAGCGAAGAAGAAACAATGGCGATGTAGGGACACCGCAAACAAAAAATGCTGTTTCATTTCAGGGGCTTTTTATACATTTTCAGGAGAGTCGTGTGTTTCCTATAACGACTTAAGTTCAGCCCGTGCTAAAACGCTCACAAGCATCAGCAGTGTTGAGTCAAGGAAATGGGAAACGCAGAGTAAATGACCGTACTGCAGTGACTGCACAACCGCTGCTTTTGTACGGAAGCTCATTGTTTACTGCTCATTGTTTCCGCTATTGTAACGTCAGCCCCGGATACGTCGTTTGTGCTTCATTGCTCTGTTTATGATGGCGTGGCATTAGCTGCTGTTTCTCAGTCATGCGTGGAAAACACGGATGCTTCTCTCCCGATCTCAAAGCCACATCGAGGAACCGGAGGAGGATCAACAGCCAAAAATAGTCTCTAGAGCCACTGACAGCCAGCTGACGTCTCTTCGCTTATTCCGCCGACGAACAGCATGGAAGATGAGTTGTTTGACCAGATCCTCACCGTGTTTAACAACCTGGTGGCGTGGGTCGCTGCCGGTGCCATGGTGTTCGGTGGGGTGGTGCCCTACATCCCCCAGTACAGAGACATCCGCCTGACCCAGAATGCAGAGGGCTTCTCCACCTACGTATGCCTGGTGCTGCTGGTGGCAAACATCCTGAGGATACTCTTCAGGTAACAGACTCTCACATCCTTTGAGAGCTTGTGAGGTTGTTATGGGGGGCTTCGGATATTCTCTTATATTCAGCTTTTAAAAAAAAGAGATCCTCTTACACTGCATGTTAACCGACTCATAGAGGAAAAGCGGCCTGCTGGGTTGAATGCACTGCAAACAGTCTGCTGGTTACTGTTAAACACCAAACTGTAGTTTACCTCTGAACAGTATTCAACTTATAGCAGACAAGACTCGCTTTTCCTTTTATTTTTTTATACAGTGGTTATAATGGTGGATATTAAATGAGGCCACAGAAATAATGATGTAGAGACTTGTACATATAATGTGGATAACCCGAGGCACAAAAATACACAGTTTACGATAAGAGCCGTGCATTGTGGCTCTGTAGTGCAGTAGTTTGCATGTTTGCCTAACAAGCAAAAGTTTCCTGGTTCAGTCCCAGGATGAGATACAGATCCCTTGGCGGTTGTGTCAGGAAGAGCACCTGGTTTAAAAATCCAACAGGTTAAGTATGCAGCGCTGTGGCAACCCTGTGTGAATAAGTGAGCAGCTAAAAGTAGCTTTAATCATGCAAAGCTACTCTATTAGAGTCCAAGCATTAATACACTGTATTGCCAAAAGTATTTGCTCGTCTGCCTTCACACGCATATAAACGTAAGTGACGCCCCATTCTTAATCCATAGAGTTTAATATGATTTTGCCCACTCTTTGCACCAATAGCAACTCTTCTAGGAAGGCTTTCCACATGGTTTAGGAGTGTGTCTATAGAAGTTTATGATCATCCTTCCAGAACCACATTTTTGAGTGCAGATGCTGATGTTGGACAATAAAACCTGGCCCACAGTCTCCGTCTAAGTCATCCCAGAGGTATTCTGTCAGGTTGAGGTCAGCCAAGTTCTTCCACACCTTTTCCACACCGCTTATCCTTGGTATGCTGAAGCAGTAAGAGTTCCTTTTGCTGGAGCTAAGGGCCCAAGCCCAACTCCTGGAAAACAACCCCACACTATAATCCCTCCTCCACTGAACTTTACATTTGGTACACTGGAGTCAGACAAGTATCGGTCTGCTGGCAACCGCCAAACCCAGACTCGTCCACCAGGTTGTCAGAAAGACAAATGTGATTTGTCACTCCAGAGACCTTACTGCTCTAGGATCCAGTGGTGTCCTTTACACCACTGCATCCAAGGCTTTGCATTGTGCTTGTTGATGTAAGGCTTGGATGCAGCTGCTGGGCCATGGAAACCCATTCTGTGGAGCTCTCCATGAAATGTTCTTGAGCTGATCCAAAGACCACATGAGTTTTGGAGGTCTGTAACGACTCTACACACTATGCCCCTCAGCATCTGCTGACCCCGCTCTGTGATTTTACATTGCCTGCCACTTCATGGCTGAGTTGCTGTCATTCGCTTCCTTTTTGTTATAAAACCACTAAAAGCTCAGGAAAATTTTACAGCTGGACATGTTACACAGGCGGTATCCTATCAGTGTACTACACTGGAGTTCACTGAGCTCCTAAGAACGACCCGTTCCTTCGGCATATCTAGCCTCTTGATTTTATACACCTGTGGCCTTAGATGTGATTAGAATTCAATGATTTGAATGAATATGGTGTAATATGCACTTAGGAATGAGTGTAATAGGTCCCCTTGAAGGTCTGGTGACCAGCAAATGGGTGAGAGAACCATAGGGTAAATATGAAATCTTAAAATCCACATATTGTTTTCTTCTTCTTTAGATTTGGACGCTACTTTGAGACGCTGCTGCTGTGGCAGAGCATCATCATGATCTGCACAATGCTCATCATGCTGAACCTGTGCACCAACGTCCGCATGGCCACTGAACTCAGCACGAAGAGGCGCTCCTTCTTAGGTCAGAACACCCAGGCGGTGCCACTTTACCGTGCAGATAAGGCTCAGATTAGTGTGTGTGAGTGTGTGAGAGGCTGGTGATTGTTGCCTGTGATCTCCTGTGCAGGTTTTCCTTTCTAAAACTATATAAAATAAGCTTTCTGAAGCTGGTTTTATATTGCGCTTAGTTCAAATAAGTGATATAGGATGATGGGGTAAAATATATTACTAACCATGAAACTTTCCAGGCTGATTACTGACATTAAGGTGATTACATTTTGTAATGTTTGTCATAAAGTTATTCATAACCCACACAGGGAAACGCTTGATTCTGTTTTGTGACATTTATCCCTTTGTAAACAAACACAAACAGCTGCCCTTTGTTGTCTGATACGCCGTGCTGGGCATGCTACAAGTTCCTGCTTACTTTGAGGAAATTTGACTAAACCTGGCTGCTAATATGAAGAGGCTCAATGTCAGATAATGGGAGAGTATCAGTTAAACTAGCGTGGGCAGGATTAAATATAATCCTGTGTAAAAGGAAAACATGGAGACACTGTTTTATAATCAGAGCCTCACACATTTCTTTTTAAGTCGATAACAATAGTTGGCGACTCTAAAATCTGATACTTCAGCGAATATACATAGACAGGTTTGCTTAAAATTCGTATTGTGTACTTCTATCTTTATGAGTCAGTGCTAAAACAGCACAACAGTACAGTTTAAATGCACAGGATCAGCTGGTTGTGGCATTTGAAATGCTGTTGCTAACAGGACAGTTGCCCTCTGGTGGACAAACTGTGCAACATCAACACAATGTTTCTCCTGTCAACTTTTTTTTTGGTTCATTTCTCAGTTGTTATAAATGCTGATAATTAGCAAAAGCTAATACCGGCCAATACCATCAGCCTGTCAATATAACTGGAGCATATGTCAGGAAGTGCAGTGCAATAAAACAAGTTTTATCCATCAGCCTTTAGGATAGATTGTTAATTTTACTAAATGTAATGACATTTTTGAGCTTTGTTACTTTAAGTGAAGCTTCAGACTCATGTCTGATTGCAAAACACGAGAAAAACAATAGCTGTCCTGTGATTCTGCTATCTGACATCTAAAATGATCACACAGAGGAAGTTTGAAACAACAGGAAGTCTCTTGTCTGTCTCTTCTCTTCCACAGCTGGTCTCCGTCAGTCACTGATCATTCACTCAGTGAACAGCACACAGAGAGAGACAGAGGGACCGTTTAGTGCCAGGTTTTTTTTGTATTTTGGCCAAATGTGTAGTTAGTGCATTTTGCCTCAGTAGGACAGTGTAGCTTCATGTTTAAGTGTCTACACCAAGCAGCAACTGTCAGAGAAATTCCAAACTTCCAGTGAAGTAAACCTAAGATGTGAAAAACAAAGTAAAAAAAAAAAAAAATTTAACTGCTGAGTTAGATTAGATTGTTAGGCTTAGCTTAAATACTGAAGTCAGGGCTAAAGGCTTTATTTTTCAGTTTTTGTACAAATGTGTGTATTTAATCCACAATCATTCACTGCTTCCTGTAACCCGGAGGACTGTATAGTGAGTTTATCTGCAAAATTGAAGGAACAAATACATTGGAGACTACAGGGTTCATTTTCTCAGCATTGTGAACTTTATAATTGTAGTCACGCAATTAAAATGTTACCAGTCAACGTTAACTTGATCAATAAATACACATCATGCCAAGCATATTCATTTAAATGAAAAGACACAAATACTCTGGTAGATTATATCGCGCTGCTCTCTTTCATCTTTGGTCTGCAATGCTTGGGTCGTGGCCATCGACTGTACTGTAAACTCTTTTTTTGTTTTTTTTTTAGAAGTTTTGAGACACAGTACGGTCAGACGACACCCTAGGAGCAAGCATTAGGTGACAGTGGGATGGAAAAACTTCCTTTTGACAGGATGAACCCTCTGGCAGAATCAGGGTCAGTGCGGGGCGGCCATTTGCTGCGACCAGTTGGGGGGTGAGGGGGCGGCTGTTTTCCATTGTGGAAGTGATTAATGCGAATGATTAAATGCAGAGTGGTGTATAAACACAGAGAGTGAAAGGGAGTGAAGAAGAAACACCAGGAAGCTCCCAGCAGCCTAGGCCAACTGCATCACAACTAAGTGATGGTTCAGGGTCACCTGATCCAGCCTCAACTATATATTGAAAAAAGGAAAGTTTTAATTTTTAGCTTAATCTTAAAAGCAAAGAGCGTGTCTGTCTCCTGAATCCAAACTCGGAGCTGGTTCAGAGGTGAAAGCAATGTTTAAAATAATTTTCCCAACATCACATGTTCCTATAAATGTGTGTGTATGTATGCGTTTGTTTGTGTTTTGTTTTGTGTGGGGAAGCTAAAGAAATATTTGTTATTGAAAATATAACTGAAAAGTTTGAAAGCGTCACAGCTCTGCATCACACCATCTTGAAATATTAAGCCCGTGTCAGGTACATGTGACACTACAGATAAACATCGTCCTCACTAAGCCAGATGTCGGCTCATTCCAAGGTCTGGCTAACAGGTTTGTGTGTGAAATATGCTTTTATGGAGCTTTTATGTATCCTTTGGTAGTAACGGCTACGTTTAAAGAATAACATGACGAAGGCTATTTTATGTCTTCCTATGGAACAAAAACTGTGCAGCAGAAGCTGTGAAGATGAGCAAGCTTAGTGCAATAAATGCTAAAACAAATAAAGTAAAAGGGAATGTAAGACGATTGGAAAAATAGAACTTTGGACTTTGCAGATGTCACCAGATTTGTGGATTAAAACACCTTGAATTAAGTTACATTACTGAACTCAAAATTTTATTGATTGTTTATTAGCTATAAAGGTTATGCATCTGAGGAAGCTAAGCAGGTGGGAACACTCCTAACCTCACAGATCACTGGTGTAACAAATCACAGAATCAGTGAGTTCTGTAATTTGACAAAGATCAACTCCAGCTTTGCTGAAGAAAACCAAGCTCTATTTTTTTCTTTTTTGTCTATATATTTTTTGTTTTTTTTGTCTGTAGCCACAGACATTAAGGACGAGGAGGTCAGAATCCCTAAGAGGCTCTTTCTGGGTATGTACTTACTGTGTCTGTCATGAAACATCAGTAGTAGTTCATCTGCCTCTCCCATCTCCACTCCCGTGTGTCTTGTGCATGGTGATAACCCTGCCTGGCTCTCATTCACAGCCCACCCGTCTCACTAACTGACACCGACTAACAGTTTCCAATGAGTTGACGTGAAGCATGAGCCCCTTTCTCTCGCATGTTTTTGAATGATCGAGCACATTAACTGTTTGTCGATTATAGAAACTGTTGTGATGCTCTACAGCATGTTTCACTGCACGCCCTTAGTGCACAACAACGTAGGAAGAAAAAGAAGCTAATCCTGTTAGACCTGCATACTGCCACTAGTTTACAGTAGTTACTGTACTCATGTCATTGAGTTACAGTATGAAGTAACTCAATGAAATATACTCATGTTACTGTGATGTTTATGTATTTTGAAAAGCAATAATTGATCTTGACGAAGTGCAAAAGACAAAAAGGAAAATCACTGCATCATGAAACACAGTCACAAAATGTTGTTGTGTTTGTTTTGTTGTTGTGATTTTGTTTTCTTTTTCTGAAATGTCGTGTTTTCTGATTTGTCTTTGTGTTTCGCACTTCAGGGCCAGCATACAAGCAAAATTAACTTTTGTGTATGAATAATAACCTTTCAGCTGCGGCATGTTGATTTTTATTCTGGACTAATACAGTAATGTAAAGCACATTGTTGAAAGGCTGCAAAATCAAACACTAATGACTTTTAATTAATGCTTAATTAATGATTTTGAATTAATGCTGTCTTCCTACTGGCTGACTTCAATACTTTCAGTACAGTGTAAACCCAAACAGAACTCGACACATTTAAAGAGGACTCAGGACTTATGTTGCTGAACTTACAAGTCAAGCTGCATTTAAAGTAAACTCAAATATTCTCATTTGAATTGACGAATCCCAGCGTATTACTTGGGATTAAATTAAAATGGTGAGACTCGTATCCGCTATCTAATACATTTAAAGTATATTTTGTACTTCTTTATTTTTCTGTTGACCAAAGAATTACTCCATACTTGTTTTTCTGACATGGTGTGGATCGTCAACTCGGCGACCCACTGCACTCTTTGTGTCACAGTTTTGCTAATCTAATATAAAGGTAAATGACACGCAGTCCGAACTGAACCCATATATTTTATTTAAAAAATAAACCATAGGAAGCATGTGAAATGTTTAAGAAAAAAAAAGTAAAATATATGCTTTCATAGTTTAGGTTATTTACATATTTGTCTAACAAGTGAAAAATGTCTGGTTGAATCCAAGGAGGAGATACAAACCCCCATTTACCAGTTTACCACTGTGTAGCATCTCCTTTTAACAACAGTCCAAAAAAGCATGGGAACTGATGAGACCAGTTGGACTTCAGGAAGATTAATTTTGTTACATTCCTGTGTAATTTAGGATTCCAGCTAATCCACAGTATTTGCTCTGCTTATTGCTATTTGTTTCAAGATCACCAGATATTTTCATTTAATGAGAGAAATTGCCCTTCTTTTGTAATAGTCTAAACGACTGTGGCATATAGAGTCCTGCCTAAAAAACTTTAGCCACCCTTCATTTCTTTATATTTTGATAGGAAAATGGAAATTATGATATATCAAAATGTGCAAACACATATGGAAATTTATTTTTCATAGATTCAATAAAAGAAATGGGAACAAATTATTTTCTCTGGAAACAGCATGTTGGTATCAAAGTGCCTAAAGATACAATTTGTTCTCTTTAGGGTATCTGTAGACACAACACCAGTTCACATTTTAGTTAGGTGCCTTTTCTGTATTTGAATGATTGATAGGTCAATGTTAAGTGGCCTAGCAAACAAAAGCAGTCCTCTGAAAATGATCAGAAAGTGAGTGGAATAAGCAGCCAATGTTCAAAGAAAAACTTCAGAAAGCCTGGAGAACTATTGCTCAAGTCCGCTTTTCTATAAAGACAAGAAATTCTGGCTCCTTCTAATTAAAATACTAATAAATGAGAAGTAATCAAGATTTGTACACAGTCATATACATATGTTTAAATGTGTATATACTTGCAATTGGTATACACAGTTCAATTGGGACACAGCATGAAGAGAGGGCTGTTGTTTTTGCGATGGACACTAGATGGCAGAAGGAAACCATAGATGTGCGAATTGAAAAGGCAGCATGCACTTTTAGTTCAGCGTGTCCGAATACAGAACAAACTTCCCTGTTTAGTTTGTAGTGCACAGTAGACAACATGGACAGAATTGCTGTTTTCCTGTCATGAAAAAGTCAGAGCGCAGAATCGTTTTTCATTAGCGTCATTGCTTCTTTGATTCAGTGTGTTCTGACCTGTGTGTGTTGCTGCTGTGTGACTTTGACCACATGTGGAAGCTGCCATCGCTGGGCTCTGAATAGTCATCGATCAGTGAGCTCTGCCAAGTGTCATTAAACCCTGCTGACAGAAAGCCATGTTCTTTGATCGCAGCTTTGCTGCCTTGCTGCTGTTCATTGATTCACTATTGAAAATATCAAGAGCAAGCATGCTGTAGTCCACCGTCGATAAAAAGTGAGAAAATACACAGGGAGAAAAGACTGTTAGATCAAAACTGCGGCACAGAACAAACACATTAGAGAGAGCAGATATTCGGTTCACACCATGTCGCTCTGTAGTGACTCACTGTGGTGCTGTTTAGTCCTCAGGACAGTTTCTCAACCTGTGCATTTGTCTGACTGTCCAGTTTGTTCCCTTTGCGTTCTCGGAGCCTCAATAATACCTCATTTGTTCTCATAAGAGCACAGCAGCATTATCACACCAGGCACCTTCATGAAACAGCAGGACATTTGCACCTAGACAGACAAAATGTAGGTGACTTTTAATAGAACTTCCCAGGACTGCCCAAAGGAAGCTGCAATAAATGTGATAAGCTGCAACCTTTCTATATACAGGTGCCTCAGACTCACTCACATATGTGTGCGTCGGTGCTGGAGTGTAAGTCTTTTGTTGTGGCATGTGTAGTTTTGAGAGAGAAGTTAAGTCCTGGTGTAATAGCAGCTCAGTGTGATTTATGTGCAAGACTGCCTGCTGCAATCCTTTAAGAAGATTAAAAGATCAGATCATTTGGCTGTGTCTGAAGCAGAAATGCTGGCAATCACTCAGGTGGAGGTAAAAGGATTTGGGGGGAAAAAGCAGGAAGACAGTGCAAAAGTTTGTTTTTGAGTCAAACTTTTTAGAGGATCTATAAGAGGAGGCAACAAGGAAACCAAAATGTGAAACTCTACTCCACCATGACAGGAACTGTGTTGGTTCCCTAAAGGGTGCAGCTCTCTCCGTCACATCCACACTTTCATTTGTTTTGAGCTCCATTCAGTCATCTAAGTCATTTGATTTTTATATTAGGCCTTTTATTACTTCTGTGAATGCAAATATCTGACATTTTTGCATTTGTTCCAGTCAGCACATCTACACAGAGCTCCAGGGTTGGAGCAGGGGAAATTAGTTTAGTATGGAAACCCGAAAGCTTTAACAACAGTTTTAACAGATGGGTCAGTGTACTTGTACTTACTTTAACTCCTGATTTTTACTCGGCTATCAGCTACAAAGTTACATATGCAGGGTGTTATTATGAAGAAGCTGAGTATCTATCTTCAACCCATCTTTACTTTGATGGTGTTGTCCTTTCTTTTGGAATCTCATCATCATGATTAACTTGATGATGAAGAACATTCTGCTTCCTGACACATCTTCTTAAGGCGCATCCACACATGAAGCAACTAGCAGTCACATGGCAACCAGAGACCACTGAAAGTCAGTAACACCAAGAGACTTCAAATGACTGCTAACAGAATAACCATTGATGACATGAACTGGGTCGAGCTTTGAGACAAGCCACTGAAGCACCAACCAGTGAGAGCTAAGAAGATATATGACATATCAGTGAATGCTAAACACATTAGAAGAGTACCAAGGCAACAGAAGCCTACAATGTCCACTAGCGACTGGCCATTAATGACAAAGCGATGAGCAGATCACTTCCCTGACATCCTACTGTGAACTACACTGGAAAATGGAAACCTGGCAGTGTAAAGGGAATGCTGGGTATCAGTGTTGGTGACTTTTAGAACGTCTACATCAGGGGTGTCCAACTCCAGGCCTCAAGTGATTAGTTCATTATCAGGCCTCTGGAGAACTACAAGACATGAGGAGGTCATTTAGCCATTTAAATCAGCTGTGTTGGATCAAGGACACATCTAAAACCTGCAGGACACCGGCCCTCGAGGCCTGGAGTTGGACACCCCTGGTCTACATAAACACAAATTCATTCAGAGTCCAGTCACAACCACACATTCCTACACAAATAGTGACAAGGTTGCTGCAAAATGACTGTCACCTGTACAGTGCTGCAGACTGAATAGAGTTGGAGAAAATGGACTGGTAATATTAACTAGGCAATTTTAGACTCCATGGCAAAACACAATATATATCTTAGTATTTCTATGAAGTCGGCGAAACACAAGCCGTTCTGAGTTCTTTATGTTCCTTCTCAGTCATGTGGCTACACCCAGATGGTATACAATCCCAAATTCTTTTTTTTAATTTAAGATTTTCTTTGATGTAAAAAAAAAATAAAATAATAATTAGTAAAAGTCCAAATGTAAAAAGGAGTCTCTTTTTGTAGCATTTTTCCCACAAAAAGAAAAGCGTCCCTGTGCTGATGTGGTGAAGAATTTAATAACTACAGTTATGTTATGTGATTATGTCACAATGATTCAGTGGTCCCATATCACAGAGATGTTGGCCTAATGATGTTATGGAGGTACATGGCAATACAAAAGATTTCCATTTCTTTCTATTGTCTGGGAATGGCTCATTGCTCATTTTGGTCCCATGGGGGTCTGCACCTGTATAGCTTCATTGGGTTTGGCAGCTTAGAATATATCACCTTATCCTGTAGGTGAAGTTATCCATTCCCTACAGGCAGGAAGGAGCTGAACTTTTAGACTGAATGTGGAGGA